TGCTGAAGGCTTCTTGCTTCAGAGACACCACAATGCTGCTAGTAAGGTGGGCTGGGCCAGAGGCAGGAAGGCAGAACCTGGGGAGGGGATGCAGGAATGATCTTGGTGTGTAAGGGATGGGGCCATGCCATATGCCGAAAAAAAAGTATGGAAAGGTCCTGGGGACATATTAGATTTGAAGAGAGATGATACCTACCCATGCGGAACATTTTGCTTTTTATTTCATTACTGAATGCCCCTCTTTGTTCTTGTCCAGATTGGGGAATTGCAGTAGAACAGAGCACATCAGGAAAGGCTGAGCGTTGGTGTTCAGAGTCTACAAGTGCTCAGTGATCTGTGTTCTAAGATCATGGTGGCTTGCATGGCGTCATTGAAAGTCATTGTGAGCCTTATCTGCTCAGGCACAGCGGGTGGCAGTAGGGAATTTAGTGACAGATGAGGACAAAAACTTCCTGGGGCTGAATAGCGGTGAGTTTCTAATCATATTTTTGCTTTCATCTGGGGCTTGAATAGCTTTTCTGCCTGATAGTGATGAGCCCTATTCCTCAGTTGCCCTTTGCTTTTGCTAGCAATACCAATTTTAGATGTTGTACTTTTGTTTTATGAGGGTATTTCCCAAGGCTGTTTTAGGAGTGGACAAGGCTCTGCTTGTCATAAGTGCAACCTGACAGTGGTGTTTTGAGTCAGCCTCTTCCTTTTCCTGTACCCTTGGCTGTTTCTCACCCTGGAGCGTCTTGGGCTTTGCTGGATTGAGGGGGCTGGTGGAAGACGTATTTGCCTTGCAGGTATAATTCCTCAGAGAATAAACCGTCTTTGAAACCACACACACATATATTTTACACGTGTGGGCAACTGAAAGAAAATTAGGTTCTCATTGTTACTTTTTAACATTGAGCAGTGATGGTAAGGAGAGCGATCCTGATGAGAAGATATTTGTATTGTGGATATCTGTGGTTATGATTTAGCCTGTGGTATGTATGCTTTGCCAGTGTTTTCTCTTTTTGTGAGAAAACGTCACATCCATCTCAGGGAAGAAGTAGACCCATAACTCTCTGTGCCACATTTTATCCCCTACATGGTACCTACCATTATTATTAGTCTGAACACCTTACTCTTTCACGTGGAAAAGTGATGTGAAAAAGCAGAAAGATCTGGGATTAGAAAGCATGGACTTGGATCCTACTGCTCCTGCCTAACAGTATGGTAACCTTTCATCTCCCGCAGTTTCCTCATATTCAAAGCAGAAATTGGAGTATGAACCATAATGCTACCATCTATCACAGATTTACATTACCACAGGTCGGGTACAGCTGCTAAGTAATTTACCTAAGTTTTCTCATTTAATCTTCCAGCATCTAGTGAGATCCTTTGCCTCTGGACTGGGAAGAGTTTTCCAAGCACAAAAGCCACTGACAGCATGACAGAGGAAGCAAGCTATTGACTTAACTACATAACATTTACGGTTGAAACTCAAAAGGACAAATACTCTACTATAAAATGTTTAAAATTCTCAGACCTTAGTAGAAAAATAAGCAAAGCTAGGAATAAGTAATTCAGAGAAAAGAAAGTACAGTCACTAAAACATTTAAATATTTACTCTAACTAGTAATCAAAGAAATTAAAATATAAAAACATTACTTTTTGCCTATCAAATTTTTTAAAACCTTTTTTTTTTAAGTGAAAATTTCAGTGTTAGCCAGGATGTAGTGAAAGCTGCACCCTCTTACATTGCTGGCGGGCATGTGGATTGGAACAGCTTTTTTTGAGAGCAGTGTGACAAAATGTGTCAAGAGCCTCAACAAATGTTCACACTCAGCTGATCTGCTAATTCCACTTCCAGGAACTAATCCTGAGGAAATAATCAGACATGTGGGCAGGCATTTATGTAAAGAGGCTAATTTCTGGCCAGGCACAGTGGCTCACGCTTGTAATCCCAGCACTTTGGGAGGCTGAGGCAGGCGGATCATCAGGTCAAGAGACTGAGACCATCCTGGCCGACATGGTGAAACCCCGTCTCTACTAAAAATACAAAAATTAGCTGAGCATAGTGACGCGAGCCTGTAGTCCCAGCTGCTTGGGAGGCTAAGGCAGGAGAATTGCTTGAACCTGGGAGGTGAAGGTTGCAGTGAGCCAAAATGGCGCCACTGCACTCCAGCCTGGTGACAGAGCGAGACTGCATCTCACCAAAAAAAAAAAAGAGGCTAACTTCCATGTTATTTTTAATTTAACACAACCCAAATGGCTAACCATAGAGGGTAACTCCATAGGATGGAATGATATGCAACCATTAAAGATTGTATTTTTATTCCTTTCTGGCTTTTCTGGAGGAAAAATTTTTTAAAGATTTTAAAATTATGTTTTTAAAGAATTTGAAGTGATACAAGGGCAATTCTGAAAATATAATAAACAATATGATCTCAACTTTATAAAAAGGAAAATAATACACACATATGATAAAAACTAGGAGGAAATATACTAAAATGTTAGCAATCATCTCTCTCTAAGTGGTGGGATTATGGGTGATGTTTATATTCTTTATGCTTTTCTTGATTTGTTCAGTGGTATCCAGAGACAGAAAGAGAAGGAGAGAGGGGGAAAGAGTGTATTATACAACAGTCCTCTTTAAACTGTTAATGAAGTATTCAGGTGTAAAGAACTGCAATTAATGTAAATGGAAATATTTGTAAGGCCTCTCCCAATATCTGTAGCTCTAGTTTATCAAGAAAGATAGACAAGGAATCAAGGGTATCTTCACACATTCATACCCTGGGATAAGTGTTTTCTTTAAAGCCTGTTTTAGACCCTAGGCTAATGTCGGGCCAGCGTGTGTTGAACATTAATCCTTAACATTCATGTTGCTATCTACTGATTTTATATTTGGATATTCAGCTATACTCAACAGTCTTCTGCCTGTTGAAGACTTTGGTGAGAATCTCTTTTGTCTGTGATATGGATTGAGAAATAGGTTCACTGACTGTACAAAATCTGCCTGGCAGATACGGGGATTTGAAATGAACTTGTTTTAAATAAAGGTGTCAAGTGATGTGATTCTGTTTTGGCTGGACCATCCCAAGTGCCAGCCTTGCATATTCGGTGGTTTGCCCTAATTAAGGTTCCAAGCAGTACAGTTGCAAGTGGTTTGTGAAATAAAAGGTATTCTTGCTTCCCTCTATAACCTTATGGTTGCTTTCTTAAGGCTCGGTTTTATGCTAGCCCAGCAAAAAATAAGAACTGTGAAAGCAGTCTTTCACATCTGTAAAAAAAAAAAAAAAATCTGTATAAAAGTAGTCTTTCACTTTATGACTGTACTACAAACACACACACACACACACACACACACACACACACACACACACGCTAGCTCCTAGTATGATGCAGTTTCATTGATACACGCTAAAATGGGGTGCTATATATATAGACAGAGATAATCGCTAAGTGTGTACAGTTGAAAGAATGCTTATGGTGTCCAAGGATTAAAAAGTGTGAGAGAAAAGGAGAGTAGAGATGAGGTTTCTTCGAACTAGTTCTCAAACCTGTTGAAATTAAATATCTGGCACTAGAGCCTGAGGCATTCTAATGCAGCCTGTAGAAGCTGGATCTTCGGAACCACTGTCTTAGCTGTACTTTGCTGTCATGTATTTTATTCTGTGCTGTCTAGTACAATATCCACCAACCATCTGTGATGGTTGAGCTCTTGAAATGAGGTAGTGTGCCTGAGGAGCTGAATTTTTAATATTAATTAATTAATTCTTAAGTTGAAATGCAAATAGCCACATGAGACTAATAACTACCATATTAGACAGAGCAGCCTTAACCTATTGTATACTGTCCTTCACTTGGGAATGAAGTTATTTTCAGTGCGCCCTTCCAACAGGCTGTGCCTTTTGTCATTGTGACACAGTGATGCTCCAGAACCTCCTTCTGGGAGAATGAAGGCATCACCAAGCCTTTAGTAGCCACACCCAGTCACATGACCTGCATTTTGTAATATAATTTGCTCAGTGTGGTCTTCAAGCCCTCGCTCAGTGCATGAAATGTTACTTCTCAAAGCCTTTGTCATCTCACAAAACTAAAATTTCATCCTCAGCCCAGGATTTTTGACTCATGTTGTTTGTTTTTTTGTAGTAGTTTCATTTTTAACCAAGGAAATCATTTTTAATCTTCTCCCCTGTTGTTTAAAGGGTTTAAAAGTTCAGCATGGTGAGTTTTTATGGGGCATTTAATGAGAAGCCAAGCATTGTAAACATATCCAAAGGATCACAGTAGTGTAGTTTACCAAATCCTTTTCCTATGCACACTGACCTGACCTCCCTTCAAAATATGAAACAGATGGGCCCAGTTAGAATTCTCCAGCTATTCCAGACATTATTGTCAAGATTTCTCACATTCTAAAACCTGGTGAGATGAGGCTTGCCCTTGAATGGAACCAAGAGTCCCTGACAAGACTGTAAGCTGCATGGAGGCAGGTGCTATGTCTGTCTTGTCCTGGGTTCTCTTCTGGCCTTATTTTGGCACCTGCCAGATCCCAGAGGCTGCATGTTGGTGAAGTGAATTACTGTTCTTGCCATAGAGAAAATGGGCTGGCTAAAGGGACATGTAAAGCAGAGAGAAGACAAGATCAGGGAAAGGGCACATTTGGGATCGAAGTGATTTGATTCAGGAGAAAGTACTTGCCCTCCACAACTTTACCTATACCTAGCAGGTAAGAAGAAGAAAGATTGTAGTGACAAATAATGTAGTTCTATCCTGGTGAAAATCATTGAGTACCATGATGGTGATTACGTAGACTAGAGATTAGAATGAGCTCTGAAGAATTGAAATTCAAGCCAGAGAGACTGGTAAAATTTCAGCTTTTAATAATTCAAATGCTCTTGTGCTGCAGCCTATTTATTTGTTTTTCATCTAATGTTACAGTTCTAAGAAACTTAACAAGTTAGACTGCCTGTGGTTGTGCTATATCTGCCCACTTATCAGCATTTTTTGTTTTCTTGAAATTTTAGGCACAGAAAAATGAGAGAGAGTCTATCAGACAGAAGTTGGCACTTGGAAGCTTCTTTGATGATGGCCCAGGAATTTATACCAGCTGTAGCAAAAGTGGGAAGCCAAGCCTTTCTTCCCGGTGAGTGTTCTTTTGAGTTGAATTTCTGATATGTACACAGTGGATTTTGTCACTTGATTATTCTAATAAAAAATGGCTTTTAAATCTTCCGTAGTTTTTTTTTTTTCCCCTCGCATAATGGGTTTTAGACCCTTCCCCACTTGTTTGTTCGTTTCTTTGTTGTTATTATTGTTGTTATTGGCTCATTGCCCAGCTACTTGAGGTCAGATTTTTATATTCCATTTTTTTTCTAGACACAATACTGATGTTGTACACTGATAGAGGAATCAAGCCACACTCCTAAGCAAGCTGACTTATGATTAGAGACATGTGGCAGACTACCAAATTTCCCATTAAGCAGTCACAGATCACCCAGAATCACCCCCCTGACACATTTGATTGCAATAAATACTCGTAACTGAGAAATGCAATTCCCGCTTTGATCATTCAATGTTTATTACAGTTCTTAACCTGTCCTCCAGGTGGTTTTTCTTTATCTTAATTTATTTCAGGATATCATTACTCTTTATCATAATTTATTTCAGGATATTATTGGTCATTTGCATAGCTTCTAATTCCAAGTAAGACATATTTAAATTATAATTTTATCCAAAAAACAGTGCTATAGGCCAGAGTTTCTCAAACTTTAATGTGCTTATGAATCATCTGGGGATTTTGTTAAAATGAAGACTCTGATTCAGTAGATCTAGGTGAGGCTCAAGATCCTCCATTTCTGTGAAGCCTCAGCTGTGATATTCATGCTGCCATTCCATAGGTTACTTTGATTAGTGAAAGTACAGACAGTCTGCAAAGTTAGGCATTACAAATACGGGTATTCCAAGTGATGAAAGCACGTAGAACGTTTTTACTAAGATATAGTAACTGATGACCTATCGGCATTCTCATGGTCTCCACCTCACTCCTCAAATGTCTGTTTCCTCTCAGTCTTCCTTTGGGCTAAAAGCAAATATACTCTGTTAAAATACTCAGTTATTTTACCATCATCAGCTAGGCATTGGAAACAAATTATAGTATTTATGCATCCATTTAACCAACATATTTCTTCCATGTCTTCGTGTGAGGCCTGGAACTAGGCATTTTTAAAATATCTATCTGTATTCCATATGGCTTTCAGTAAGGCTTGTACTACTGTCTTATCCTGAGAGATTCTAAATCAGCAACAATCAGAAAGCAGACACATACTCACATATACACCTATTTGTGAGGCACTGCAGGCAGATCAGTACATCAAGACAAGAACGCCAGTTTCACCAGGCAGTGTTCCAGCATCTCTTCCTCAGCAGGGTGCCAGTTCTGTCTCAGAACATTCCCTTGTATTCCTACACATCCCTCCAGAACTGGATGGTCAGCCCTCCCCTTTCCCTTGGGAGCACCTCTTTCCCCTCCCAGTTAGATGTGGCAGAAGATGCTTTGGCCTAGGAACCTGGAGGTCTGAGGATTAGTCCTAGTACATTTCTAATTTTGAGACTTTAACAATTTACTTAGTTTTACCATGTCTCATTTTCTTCATTTTTGTGAAATGAGAGCATTGGACCATATCATCTTAATAGATCTCTGCCGCTGCACTCTGATATTTCCCAGAGTGCCAAAATTTCTTCTTTTAGAAGCCCAATCTGTCTGTTCAACAATATCATATCCCTGTTACAAATGAGAGGTTTTGGTTTTGAAAATCAATGATATACACACACACACACACACACACACATATATATACCTATGTGCATATATATAACCCATATACATGTATATGTACATAGGTATATATGGATGTATACATATATATATGTGTTTCCGTGTGTGTGTATATATGTATACTCCAGGTATATTTATATTATCCTTGTCCCACTCTCCAGAAGTAATAACTTTTTACTTCTTAACTGTTTCTTCTGGTATTTACCTACATATCTCTAAATAAAATGCTTATCTTCTTAGTTTTTATTTTAACCATCAGACTATCTACTATTAAAAAAACAGTGATTTAGCTTTTTTTATAGCCCTCCCAAAGACTCTCATCTCTTCTATTCTTCCTTTAGAGTAATTTCATAATTTAGAGTCAAATAGCTATTTAATGTTTACATTATTAAGATTATGCATTATTCATCGCTTCTCGGCCTTTTAGCTAAGATCAAGTGTAGATTATGCATTATTCTCACTGAACCATGTAGTAAACTGTGGTTACTTGAGAAATTTTATTTTTTTTGTCCTGAAATTAGAATTGCCTGCTTTTTCCCCATGTACTGCATTTGTATTCCAGTGTGTGAATATACCACAATTTATTTGGCCACTCTCCTGATAATGGGCACTGGATTGTTTCAAAGGTTTTGCTCTTGTGAACAATGCTACTTACAAACATTCTTGTACATGTCTTCTGCTGTACATATGCAAGCGTTTCTCTTTGGGGCATACCTAGGGGTGGAATTACTAGGAAAATACATGAATGTTTACACTTAGAATATAATGTCAAACTGTTTTCCAACATGGTTGCAACAAGTTATACTCCTGCCATCAATGTTTCAGAGATCCTGTGGGTCCATAACGTTGCTAACATTTGATATTGCCAATTTCTTTTAAGTTTTTGTGAATTGAATAGGTATAAAATTATTTTTATTGCATATATTAGCCATATTTGTTTTCTCTTCTGTGAAGTATCTGTTTGGGTCCTATGCCAAATTGCTGTTGGATTCCTTATGCTTCTCTCATCGACTTATCGCAGTTCTTCAGTCATGATACTAATGCTTAATACATTGTATGTATTGCATATATCATCTCCCAAGTTGTAACTTGTTTTTCACTTTTTTAATATGTGTTTTATGACCATAAGTTATTAATTTTATGGGTTAATTTTATACTGAATTTTATCAAACTTTAATGGCTTTCTGTATCTTGTGTAAAAAATTTTCTTCTCCCCCAAGATCCAATAGACATTCATTAGACTTCCTACCAAGAGTTGAAAGTGTTGAGTTTTTAAAAGTCTGCAATCAATCAAAAATTGATTTCTTAATATGGGATGAAGAAGTCAAATTTGATCGTTTTCCTTATAGATGACCATTTCTTTATCATATTTATTGAACAATCACTCTTTTACTCACTGATCTTATAGACTACTCCCATGGATACTGCATATTAATGGAAATATATTCTATTTCATTATTGTTTCTATCTCAGCAGCAAAATATAGTCTTAATTACAATAGCTTCAAAATAAGTCCTGATATCCGGACAGGAAAGTTCTTTTTGTTATTCTTTTTCTTCAGAAGTATGCTGCCCGTTATGGCTTTTTTTATTCCTCTACATAAACTTTAAATAATATAATCAAGTTTAATAAAATACTCTCTTGGAATTTTGAATGTAATTGCGTTGATTCTATAGACCAATTTAGGAAGCATTACATTTTCACATTGTCTTTCTATCCATGAATATGGTCTGTCTTTCCATTTATTTAGATCTTATTAGATATTTCTTAATAAGGTTTTATAATTTCCCATTTAGACATATTACACATCCCTTGTTATATTTATTTCTAGATACTTGCTATTCTGATATCTTAAATTCTCTTCAGTAATGCTTTCTCATTTGCTGCTGGTGAACAGAAATGCAATGAACTTTGTATACTAGTGTTATATCCAGCCACTTTGTTATTGCTTCTATTACTTCTCCACTCTCCTATTATTTCTAATAAAGTTGTCTGTAGATTCCCTGAGATTTTTGAACAATGATATCATCTACAAATAATGGCAGCTTTATTTATTCATTTCCAATTCTCATGCTCCTGGTTTCTTTCTTTGTCTTATTGGATTAGGTAGGTACCCTAACACAGTGAGAATTAGAAATAGTAGTAGTTGGAATCCTTAGGTAATTTCTCATATTAAATGAAATGTTTCTACTGTTTTCCCATTTCAGATTATGTTAATTTTATGTTTTCTTTAATGATTCTCTTTATGAGATGATATTCCTTCCAGTTATAACTTACAAAGAATTTTTATCATGAATGGGTATTTAACTTTATCACATGCTTTTTCTTCATCTGTTGAGGTGAAGAAAAAGTACAATTTCATTCTGTTAAGCTATTGTATGAATTAACGAATTACATTTATAGATTTTCAAAATATTAAACTGTGCTAGCATACCCAGTCTAAACCTAAACTGGTTAGGGAGTATTATATTTTTTCAGATACTAATATTATAAATAAAATCTGAGTAAATAAATTATAAATAAAATTAATATTTTATTTATAACATTTTGTTTAGTATTGTTAGGTTTATATTCATGATTGACATGGATGTATTGTATTCTTTTCTTCTGATATTTTTGTTTGGTTTTAGTATCAGGGTCCTGCTGGCTTAAAAACGGATTGGGAACTATTCTCTTTCATATTGTCTAAGAAAAGTTTACATAATATTTTTATGATCTGTTTCTATAAAGTTTGGTAGGACTCATTTCTCTCTGGGCCTGGTGTTTACTTTGTGTATTTGCTTTAACAACAGCTTCCATTTCTTAAGTGGTTATAATATTATACATACTTTTTATTTCCTCAGATCAGTCTGATGAGTTGTATTTTTCTAGGTATATGTCCATTTTGTTTGTTTTCAAAATTGTTGGCATATTTTCTCATTTCACTAAAAATATTAATTTTAATTAAATTGTTTAAAATGTTTTCTTCTGATCTGTTGTCCATCATGACTTTCTGAGTTTATTTTTTGTTTGTTTTGCTTTCTGCCCACCAATAACTAAGTATAAGACACTAAAAGCTGTTTATAAACTGTGGTTGGCGCTAGTTGGCATCCGTCATCTGCTTAGAGAGCTCTTCCCTGACCACCCTGTTAAAAGTAAACATTCTCATACCCATCACTTTGTCCTGTCTTATCCTGCTTATCTTCTTATCCTGATTTGTTGGTATGTGTGGGGGGTGGGAGAGAAGGGGGGTGCTTATTACTACCTGACATTGTAGTGTGTATACTTTGTTCTGTCTTTCTCTAGCTCTAAAATATAAGCTCTAAGAG